AACAGTTATATTACATACACATAACTAACATTAACATAAAATTCTATCTGACGTTATATAACAGCAAAGATCGATGTTTACTGAGATATTCCAAAATAATGTGAAAATAGTACAAATAGTTGCTGAAAAGTATGATTAATTGGAATTTGGAGAAGTAAAGTCATTTACGATGAAAGAAATTTAGCTACTAGCTGTGGAATATAATATTTAAAGTATTGAAACCTGTACATCCTTTTAAGAAATTATTTGTGGTGGTGTAAGGTATACTCCTAAAGCTTAACAAGAAAAATTTTGTAATATAAACGATGATTCGATTGTTTAATTAGCTAATAGTAGAATGGACTTTATAATGAAAATATATTTGCTTTTCGTGGGAAATTAAAACAAGATATCTTTTGTCATAAAAACTTTCGAAGTTAGAAATACAACAATTTCATCTTAACCCGTACATATTTAACATATAAAAGAATGAGATAGCTTTTATGCTAATCATAGTGTCTATAGAATCATTTACATTACGAGAAACATCATTTCACATCATTTTCTGAATTTTATGTTCATAACAAGTTAATAGTAAAAACTCGCAGTTCTTATTAAGAAAAGAAGTATTCCTTTTAACTGAAATATATTATTGTCGAATAGAAATATATAAAATATTGTTAAAAAAAGTAGTTATGCATAAAAATTATCCTCCAAGTATAGGAAGCCACTCTTTTCTATTCTCTAAGCATAAAGAAAAATAATAGGTAAAAGAAAATTGTATTTTTTTACATTTTTCTAATATTTTGTTAACTTGTTTTCTTTAAAAAAAGTAGAAAAATATGGTTCGCACGTAAAAAAAAATTCCACTAGGTAATCAATCATAATTAGGTGTGCTAAATAGAATTGAGCTCGTAAATAATTTTTTTTGTACCACTGAAGAATGCATATGATAAAGCTGCATAATTTATCCGTATGTCAGGCAGATGGTATGAAAATTTACTATAGTTTAGTTTGTGGAGTAAAGATATGAAATTATCGGCATCAAGAGACACGTTTATTTTTGTAGTGTCTCAAACGCCAAGTACGAATAGCGGTGACGGAAGCACTACTGTGTCTCTATTTCGCTTAGATTAGCACCTTTGAGGTTATGCTTTCTAAATTTTCTAATTTCTCTGCAATAATGACATAAACTTTTTTAAAAAATCTTTGAAAAATCCATTAATTAACTGCGATAGAAAATTGCGATTGCTATTGTATCCTGAAAATCATTTATTTGGAAAAATAAAAATTGGCTACACTCCTTGGACTACAATTTGAGTAAAAAAAAATCTTTTTTTCTTGAAAATACGACTTTTTTTTACAAAGTTAATACTACTATGAAGTTGCTGCATGACTATAGAAATAATTATGTTAATAAAAAACGAAAGAATTACTGAGACGACAAATTACAAATGTAAGAAATTTTTTGTATAAAAAATTGTTCATATCCTGAAAACAGTAAGAGAAAGAGCAAAAGTAATAAAATTTTGGGGATAGTTCTATACAATAAATGGTAATTGTTCTTATAACATGAAGAAGGCATCAATAAAGCGAAATGTATAAAAAATCGTGAAATCATACCAAAAACAGTACTAACGGACTTCACAAATATACGCGGCAAGTATGAATAACGAAGACGATATAATAATCATCGTTCATAAAGTGCAATCTCCATACAGCTCTTTCATACGAACAATAACTAAAGTACGTAAAATTGTGGAAGCCAAGTATTTAAATATAAAGACTAATTATATTTAATCTAATAGAATTGTAATTATTTTTTGTTTCAATTATTATGTGATTTTTTAGATAAATTTATTTAAACACAATAAACTTGGCGTGGCTATTACCGCTGTAGATAAAACGACACCAGGTGACGCTGAAACATTGACGAGAAATGCGGGAAATATTTAAACGTTCGAAATAGGAAGATAAAAATAAAATGAATTGCATTTAAAGTGCAGTTTTGTTATCGTAGGCTTGAGTTGATCCGATTGCGACCAAATTTTGCAAACATGTAGATGGCGATGTGGGGAAGGTTTAAACTAATTTTAATGAATGTAAATGAGTTACAGCAATCGAATTTGTTATAAACAATTGAAAACGAGATCTATGCTATCAATTTGATTTGTTTCAACGACAAATATGCGTTGTAAATAAGCAGAAATTGAGTTCATTAACAAACTTTAAATTTCTACAATTAATATACACGAATTTATCACTTTTGTTTTAATTCCATTACCAAGCAATACGTATGAGGGATTGGGTCTTTCTCACTACTGATATATTATTTAAATTTTTACTTAATGCATTTATTATTATGAAACATAATGATATCACATTGATCGTTGACAATAAATTAGATTCTTTTAATTAGTTAAAAAAATAACATGATTTTCAATTTTTGTACTTTAATTCCTTCAATTCATTACTATTCATATCAGTCAAATATTATCTTCTCGAATCAATACGCGAAAATAAGCTAATTATTCTATATATTCATTATGTCGTTTTAAACTCCATGTCTTAAGTATGACTACAGCCATAGGGGGTTAGAGTTAAGAAATCAGACACTTGAATCGAACCAAAGATACTTCTTCTGGAAAAGTTTGAAAACTCGTTTAAAAAAAGTTTTTTACATTTTTCCAAAGGCTAATTGATAGCTTGATCAATTAATATACATTTACGCTAAAAAAAAGCAGTTCTATTTCTACTACTAAACAAAATATGACTATGCTCCCTTTAGAGGTGCATCACAAGTAGCTTTACCTTGTCTACTTCATCTTTGAATAATGAGGAATTTCTACTGAAATAAATTAAGTATTAAAGTTTCACTATCGCATATGATCGTATTACGAGTAAATTGATAGAGTTTTCCGAAGAAAATTACAATTTGTTATTATACATTCATGAATTCATCGTAAAATTGTTGAATCTTCCAAAAAAAAAAAAAAAGTTGAATGTTTATTATACTGAAAATATATCAATCAAACCAGATTTTTAGCTTCTCATTAGGAAGTTATTGAAATTGGGTCGATTGGTGGAATTAAATTTTCATCATATCTCGACGTTCCTCGATATTCGCAAGCATCCCGACTAATTTTTAGAATGATGTGTGTGTGTGTGCATGCGTGTGTGTGTACGTACGTACGTACTTACCTATATATGTATGAATGTATGTATGTAAGTATGTCAACATTTTTTTCATTTTCGATATCTCAAGAACGAATCGAGATATCAATTTCAATTAAAATTTATTCGAAAGATATCATTATAAAGAAAATCTGAGGAAAATTTAAACCAATTCGTTTGAGCCGTTTTCGTTTCATAACGAAAAAACTAATAATAAATAAATGAAATGATGAACTATTGTAAATACTTTTAAGTACAAGAATAACAATTTTATTTGAAAATGAATTCAATCTTGACTAGACTTTATTGTTCACAATCAAATACTACTTTCAACAATTACACATTGTTAATAACAAGATGAATTTGTTACAATCAATTACTACTGAAAAGTTCGTCGTGTTAGCACAAAGTGTTCTTAGACCTACTTTTTCATTTTTGAGATGACCACTCTGTTATAAAAATGATGTTCAATCTTAATTGTACAGCATAAATGTATTTACACTTTATAATGGAAAAAAAAATCATAGAATTATTTTCGAGCAAACGTTAAGGAACCTAAAATTGTAATAGTACCCGAGTCGAAATATGAGTACTTCTTTTATAATTTTAATTTCTGATTCGTGAGTATTCGAAACTAGCTAATTTTTGTCCATAAAAGTTTGAAAAGTTCTCCATAATTACAACATATGTACCATAAATTCTGAGTCTTGAATTATGCTTCGAATTCTTGTTTCCAGCCACACTTGAGCTTATTTAGCATTTTACAAAAAATTTTTCGGGTTTCACTTTGATCCATTTTAGTATTATTAATCAGTTTATTTTATGCTGAAATAAAATGACTAAAATTGAAAACTTATTTACATTTAATTTTAAGTACTCAGTTAAAGAAAGTTACTCTAATAAGTATTTTGAAGACAATAAGGTCTTATGAATTCAATATTATTATATATTCTACCCCACTACCTACACGCAGAGAAATGTATAGTAAAAATTACCCTGAATTTTATAGTAATTTGGTGACACTGTAGGGTAAGGGTAAAAGTTACTATCTACATGGTGAAAATTAATGTGCACATTATTAAAATTACGAAACTGCATAGTAATTTTTAGGGTGAAATTAAAGTGAAAATAACTATACAGTTTGATAATTTTAACAACGTGCACAGTAATTTTTACCATGTATATAGTAATTTTTACCCTCATCTTACAGTGTCACCAAATTACTATAAGATTCAGGGTAATTTTTACTATACATTTCTCTGCGTGTATATCCATATTTTTCATGTGTTTCAATTATGTGTTACAAGTTACGCTAAATTCATTTCTCCCAAATACTTGTCACATACTACAATCTTAATAAGAATTTTTACATAATTGTTTTAAAAAATACGTGACTCCAAGCACAAATTCTTGAAAAATATAAAAAAAGTCACGTAAAGGGTTGAAAAAGTATTACAACCGTAAGACAAACCATAAAGCTGACAACAATGCACTAAAATCGTGAGTAATATAAGTTATGATTTTTTAATTATTTCTATTATTTGTGAAGAAATGATTTTTTTAAATCATAAATCTTAGTATAATAGACAAAAATTTGTTCAATTGAAATGGTCACTATACGAATATGCAAAGTATAAAATATTCGACAGTACTATTCGAATTCATACAGTTACATATAATCTATAGGTCTCTATTAAGAAAATTTTACCGCACCGTCTTTCTGTCTAGGCTTTTCATATTCTGAATTATAACTGTTTATCTAAACTTAAAATTAAAAATAAAGATTTCCATTAAATTACTCTCTAAAAATACCAGTTAATGCGAAAAATTCACAATTATTTACTTACTCGATAACTGCGGCCAATTGTTTCTTGTCTTCTTGGTATGTAATCATTATCATCCGCGTATATTATATTCCTTATTTGTCCACGAAATTTAGGTTCAAATATAACACTTGGTAAAGCGAGTAAAGTAAGTTTGCTATTGTACCAACTTGGCATACCACCAATATATACATCTGAGTTACTGCTAAGTCGTCCAAATTCGAATTCTTTCCCTCGAGATGTCGAAACGGCACTTAAGGTATCCACTTTGAGAGTTGTATTTTCATTATCACGAAAAATCTGTATTTTATGCCATTGGCCATCACTCAAATCACGTCCAACAGTAACAATTTGTGCCCCGCCACCAAGATTATATCGAAGCCGCACAGCACTTTCTACTAACTTGATTTCAAAAAAGTCATACATGCCTCCATCATCAGTATACAATAATAAACCATTGCCTTGTTGAGTTTTAAATTCAAACTCAAGAGAACCGTTTACAGCAACGTTCCACTTTTGAAACTGTGCATAACTAGCTACGGAACCATCTAGCATAAATGGTTTTACTTTTACGAAGAATGTTACTATTAAATATGTAAATTCCAATTTAATCATTATTGTAGACATTTAAAGCAGCAAGTGATTTTTTTCACATAACTGTTATTGAATCCATAGCATTTTTTATGATTAAATTCTGTGGATATCGATTTTTTATGACTTGTAACTAGTACGATTTACAATTAACGATGATCATTTTGTTCAAATGAACTATCACATGGTTAAATAGCACATCAGGATATGTATATTTTAGTTTCTTAATGATTTGTTATTTTACACAGACACAAAGAATCATTCGAGGAGTAATTATATTTGATGACAAAATTATTTTATGAAAATAAACTTTGGACACTATTGATAAGAAAAAAAAAATCTCGTATTACAATGGATGCCAAATAATAATTGGATATATCGATTATACTAAAAGAAACATCTATTAAATATTGTATGGAAAGTTTGATAGAGATGTATCATGTATTATTTACTCTGTCACACATATTTTCGACGTATGCAATTGAATTTAATGCAGTGGTAAAGTTGTTCTAGATCTTTATCATTAGATATTAGACTACAATGAACACTTCTTTTGATAGTGGAAAAACAAAAAATATTGATTACATTGCATAATACTGTTTCGTTACGAAAAATATTACATAATTCAGAAATTTAGTGAATAGGCATCTTACGATTACGGATCAAAAAAAAATTTCGCTTACAATACATAAAATAAAATATCACACATAGAGTATTACATTACACAGAATATCAAATAATAATCCTTGACGATGAAAGTTTAGATTTAACTATTGAGCTTTTTTATTTTTAGTTCAAATAAGCAAATGCATGTCACACAATGTATTCAAAAAAGTTGTCCACGAAATTACACGAACACGAATCTAGTATCCATGCCTACAGTTGTCATACTACATTGCATTGAACGACGTACGATTAAACACCCTCCCGACACGTCAATACAGACGCATGCGTCTTTAATAGCTACTATTCGATATAGAACTACGATATGGAAAAAAGAAAAATATTCATTTATGTAGATTTTCTTGACAAAACATAACAAATCTTGCACCGAATGTAATTGCAAAAATCTTCATTATTACAATTTGTAGTTGAAAAACTCGAATGTGTGTTTTTCATAATATCTTACGATACATCTTTTTATTTAAATTTCTTCCCCAAAAAGCTAAATACAGTTATATATACTAAAAAGCATATACAAAAAGCAAAATCACACTTCATAGCAATGATTACATTCGTAAAAAAGAAAAAAGTCACTACACGAAGAAAAAATTCTGTTAATTTTTATTTAAAAATTCATACAAAAATTACAGTGCTGCTCAAGGATGTGAGTTCAATTTAGTGATAATTTTTTTGGTTATATAAAAAAATGAATAAATAAATTAGGTTCATTAATAATTAACTTTCTCAATTAATTAATTCGTTGGAATGAATACGGCACGTTTTACAATATTGTTCCTCCCCTATCCCTACGATTGGGATCTCACGCAAAAAACCTGTATCGTTGATACAACCGTCCGGCTCTGCGAAGACATCTTTCTCCCGCTCACGGTGGCCCGAGAAAAATCATATAAATGACTTTTGTATCGGCCAGGACTCGAACCCGCGACCCATCGTGCGTCAAGCTGACGCTTACTCATGAGTCCACCGCGTCAATCCAGTCTTACAATACAAAGAAAGATTGTTTTGGATCGATAATTCGAAGATTCCCGACTCAGCACGGAAACTCCCGAGAATAGAAAAATTGGCAGGAGAGCACCCGAATTTTTCCTACCACACGGTTCATAGTAAATTATATACAGATTCTTATTTCTTTCTAGTCACTCAATAATTTTTGTTTAAAATTTGAATAAAAATTAATATTTATCGAATATTACCGTGCTGCATAATAATTTTTACTTTTACTCTTCTTAATAAATATTGGATCTATCATAAAATTTTTAAAAGGATTACTAATATTTCTTTGAAGGTTGTCTTAATTTTTTAGGGAATAGACATTTGTGCGTGGATTGTTGTGCTGAGCACGGTAATTTTTATTGGAATTTTTTCTCCGTGTAGCTTAGAATAAATCCGATGTTTTAGCCCACATAACGGCACATACAAGTTCTTTTGGGATTTCCGCCGAAAGTTAACCTCCTTATTTCTGTTGTCAGATGAGGAAATGAACGATTTTCTCCTGTGAAAACATATAATATAGATTAGTAAGTCTTTAAGAAGCAAAGATTAAGATGAAAACCAAACATACAAAAAACTGTATGTTTACAAAATATCTCTCCAAATATTATACATAATAATATTGTCTATTTTTCTAAGAATTTCGTGCTCGGATTTCATATTTTCATAGCAAAAATTATTTAAATATTTATTATATATTAAATTCAAATGTATACATACAATAAATAATAAACTGAAATGAATTATAATTGGAATCTTGGTTTTTATGTGAAATTATAAGAAAAAGAACCGACGGATAATTCAACCGTTCAAATATTGTAAATACTTACGTTTAACTCCCCCAAAACTCCAATTCGATCAATTTATAGATTTATTTTCGTACTAGCTGATTTCTACGACTTTCTCCCATAATGTGCATAATGACGTTAGATTACAATAGATTAATCGAAAAAGCTCTGAATAGTAAGTTCATAGTTTGAATGAGCCATTTCCAAACACGTATTATTCTACGATAGTATTAAAAATTAGTGATAATTTCGTTACTATTGATAATCGACCAAAAAAATTCGAATTTCATCGTGAGATTCTTTTTTTACTCTGTTACAATGATTTATTATTAAAAATAAAAAAATCCGGTTTTATTGATGTTAAACGATTGATAACTCTTTTTGAGCGACAGAACAAATTTTCTCGTTTCAAGAGCTTAAATACATTAAATTGATCTCGTTCTTCCTTGTTTATGATAAATTCAATTATTATAAATAAAAAAAGTAGGTTCTCATACATTTTACATGGTTTGCAACTTTATTTTAGCAAAATGAAAAATTACGCTTTGGAAAAACTCAAATATAATGCGTAGATCCCGTTTTTAATTGATTATAACAAATTCAATTGTTATAAGCAATTTCAATAAACAAAAAAAGCCTATAATCATCCCTACAATGCCCTCTACATGTCTACAAAATTTGATTGCAATCGGATTAGCCGTTTAGGAGATTATCATTAGCAGACAGACACGAGAAAGGTAAGAATAGAGGAAAGCGGGGCTGAAAGTGCCGATTTTAACGAATCCTTATATAATTTGGATGAAACAAGTACTATACCTAAAAGTAGTGGTTTATCCTAAGCGAAATTTTGTCTACAATACGAATTTACCTACAGATTTTGCACATTTTTCATAGTTTTTTAGAAAAAATGATTTTTTTATACAGCGGCGGCAAGGCACTACCAACCCCACTTTGGGGCAAGTTGTGCCGTAACTGAGGTCGGTTGTGCCGTTGATAATGCTAGGTGTTTTAAATGAATGAAAATTAATTAAAATTTAAAAGACATAAGTTTCATAATAATATATTTATTCGTTATACTTTTCATTATAAATCAACAGTTTTTAAAATTCAGTTGTTTATAATATATTTTATTAATAGTATTAATAATATATTTATAATAACATATTTTTAATTAATAGTTTGTACTTATTTTCATGCGAATGAGATCAATTATTAAAAATATTAGTTCCTAAGGACTATATCACAAAAAATAATAAAGATCTATCTCAAATTATAAAGTAATAGAGTTATTATCTTATTTATCAGTCTTTTGAGTCCTTTTACGAAATCAAAAAAATATATCAAAACTAGTTATTCTTTGGATGACTGATCAGAATAGCAATTAGGACATACAAATGCTAGGCTTTCTTCATCTTCAATGCATTGCAAATGAGCCCAATTCTTACATTCTCTGCATTCAATCCATTTTTCTCCAGGGGCAGAATTAGAATAGGCATCACAACATATGATACAGTACCATTCTTGTTCATCATCAGAACTGTCATCATCTTGCAAAACTCTTCTCTTAGCGGGCTTCTTAGGCGGTTTTTTTGTTTGTTTACCTTTCCCCTTGCCCTTCCCCTTAACCTTCTTTGTAGTTTTACTTTCTTTCTTCTTCTTTTTAGTAGCCTGTTCTTCGGCCAAAGCATTTTTCTCTGGAGTGTCCGTAAGAACAGCTGTCTTTCTTTTACGTCTTTTATTATGTCCAATTAATCGGGGAGGTGCTTTAGGCAGTAGTCTTATTAGCTCTGGTGAGAAAATTGCTGTATTTTTGTCTCCTGTGTTGTTATCAGCTGATTGAGGAAGCTGGAAGCTGCAGCAAGGGATAGGCTCCTAAGAACACTGACGTGTTTCTTGTTCTTGATTACCTGATGGTTCACTTGTACAGTCAACGCTGCAGTCATTTTGCCCAGGAACATGCTTTAGTATTGTTTGACTAGTCTCAATCTCTACATTGCTGCCCACATAATTTGATTCATCAAAATATTCAGGAGTCTTTTCTCGATTGTTTGGAGGGACAGGCAAGTTGCCGGTACCTTGTGAGGGTCGATTTTCGGGCATCGGGCGATCAGTGATAAAAGACGGTGCGTAATCTTCGTCTGTAAATACGTTTGAATCATAGGGCCAAATGCCAGTCTTTTTGAATGCGTTGCATATATTCATAGGTGTTGCTGCTAACGGGAAAGCGTATTTTACTATACCTGGTATTTCATAAACGCTCATAACCTTCCCGGGATTAGTTCTCAGCCAGTTATTTTGAGCTTTAGAGCAGTATGTTTTAAAAGGGCCATTGACACCAACATCCAGAGGTTGCAGACGGTGGGTGCAGTGTGGTGGGAACGATAATAATATAACAGAATTTCTCTTGGCTTTTTCAATCACATCAATATCAATGTGAGATGAATGATTGTCTAGAAGTAATAGCACTGGCTCGTCAGGACTAGGCTTAGTGTGTTTTATGAAATGATCTATAAACACTAAGAACTCTGTGCTTGTCATCCAACCGGATTGATTACCAGCCCCAATACACCCAAAATTTTCTTTGGTTTCAGCACAGTTTGGACACCAGTCTCGTCTACATTCCAGATACGTGAAGGAGTAAGATTATGCTTTGTGATCAAGTCGCCAAGTTTCTCGAAAAATTGATTCACGTTATGTCGGTTAAATGAGCTCGCGCGTCCTGCACTGGTAGCTTCGGGTGTTCTTATAGAAAGTGTAGAATTCCTCTTCAGAAAGTTTGTCAACCAATCCTTGCCAGCCTCACCATTTGTATGCCAAGATGGTGGGATGTTTTGTACATTAAACTTCACGGCACACTGGTACGCAAGTTGTCGTACTTCCTCCGGCAGAAGACCGAAGTAAATAGAAGCGCTTTTCAAGATGTACTTCGATAGTAGTGCCTCTTGTTTCTCATTAAACACTAGTCTTGGTTTGTATCCGACCGCAGGAGCAAGTCCACTTTTTATTTTTTTGACATAGCGTTGTAGTGTTGTGTGACAAATTTCTAATTCACGTGCAACAGTTTTTAATTTACGTCCATCCTTGATGACTGCATCAGCAGCCCTTTGTAAAAGATCTTGAGATGTAGTTCCCCTTTGAGTTTTTCGCTTGTATGTCCTCATTCTGTCAAAGACAATAAATGCAGTATAAAGTATCATGTCAAAAAGTTATTTCTTTCTTTTATAAGTGCTCGCGTAAACATGAACAATATTGAAACAATAAAAGTTGCTGAGAGGTTGGTTGTGCCGCGGCCTAATTTTCCGGATATAATTCTTAAAAATTCTCTCTGTTCCTTAAATAGCAATAAAATGTTTGAAGATTGTTTAAAAATACAGGTGCACAAAGTTGACATAAAAGAAGACGTTTATAATACAATGAAAAACCGAACAAATTATTATTTTTTTTTTTAATTCCAACGAGAAAATGTTCAGAAAACGATTCCGAACATTCCGTAATTTTTTCGAAATGTTTTAAATGATATTCAATGTTTTCTTTATATTAGTTAATTGAGAAGGTCCTCAACGGCACATTTTGCCAGAACGCTTAAAACGGTATCGACATTTTTTCGGAAAAAAGAACGGTTGCTGCTGCGTAAGCAGTGAAAGGTAAAAAAATGCACTTTGCCAAATTTTAATTGTTAATAAACAATAGTAAAAATCATTACCAAACAATAACATTTGGCACCAATGCTTTTCTTGTCAATCTCTACGAGAAACCGCCTTAAAAAAATTTCTTCAACTCTTTTAAAATTAATGCATACCAGCATAGGGGCTTTCCATACTACTCTTGAACTACAGGCTGATGATCTCTGACGTATTACAAGAGTTCTGAGTATCAACAAACTGAAATTGAACTTAACCTGAATTATCCGAGCACTAAGTTGAGTTGTTCGAAAATCAGAAAAATTACACCGATCAATGGATGGTTCCAGAGTTGTTCAAATTATGCAACCAAGTTGGACATATTCAGCTTGAAGGAATGATTGTTCTAACTTCGATGAGCTGATGAAAAAAAATGGAAAAAAGATTACGGGTAAACGGTAATCGAAGTTATGTGGACTGTATCTTTCAAGATATTTGGAGAACAGTTGAGACTGTTAAACGGGTGTAAAATGAATTGGCTGACGCGATTTAACAATAACAAAAAACTATTTAATAACCGCTAAATAACAGTAGCAAGTAAGATGATAATAATAATAGAATTTTCCCAATAACACAAGGTCTTTGAATTGTCTGTGAAGTCTTGAGTTCTCCACTAACACGGAAATTATTACGTGACACTCGGTACGCGGGCCGTCTTGACGAGTCAACAGTTCATCGATGAAAAGTCACGATAAGAGCTCATATTTCTTTAAGTGAGGCCTGAACACGATCTACGTCACCAGGGTGTCCTAGAAACCCGGAACGATAGTACACCGTTTGCACCTCGAGTTGCAAAAATCAAGTTGTGAAATATTTGTAAATGTTTCAAGACTCGCGAATGATATCTCGGTTCTGAATACTCAAAACTGCAGCTTTGTCAGCTGGGTCACTAAACTAAAAAGGAGAAGAACGAAAAAAATCAAGTGTAGAAAATTTCGGTGTTTGGCAAGAGGATCAGTCTTGTCAACAAGACTAAAGTTCTACTTCTAGCGAAACTGGATACTCTGTTTCGACTCTCAGTCATCAGAAAAACGTTTTTAAAAATTATTTTGTTAGGTCATTATTTATGAAATTAAATTCAGTAATTAATTTATTGAAATGAAAGAAAATTCTAAAAATAAGCTGGACACAACACAATCATAGATATCAGTATTGAAAAATTGATAAATTAAATTATCTGTATCTGTGTATCATAATTTTACTTGGAGTAATTGTCTAGAAAATGTCCCCCACCCCTGACTGCTTTAGAGGTGGAAGTAGTGTTAAATAGGGGTGTGTGAAGTAACGAAAACTAAAAATTAGCCGTCGCTTACCCCCCAGTTAATAGAAGAGGTGGTTTTTAAATACAAATGATTTTTTTACATATTAAATATATATTGTAAAATAAGACTCAATAACAACTTCGGAAAATTAGTAAATTAATTAAAATGTTTATTAATGATTGACAGCAATTAATAAAAAGAAAGAATCCGTGCGGTCAACTCAAATCTCAGACAAAAACTGGAGATAAACAAACTCTCCCCTCGTTGCTATAAACAATCTAATCGTCAAGCAATCGTTGTTAACTAACAAACTGTCGTTAGTCTAATAGTCATTAGATGGCGACATACAAATATTTTACAATATTATAATTAATACATGGATTGATAATATAAGTGAATAGGTAGGAAAAGTAGATGAGGAGAAAGGTAGCGGGAGGGATGGTCAAATGCCCCTCACTTTCCACCTACCCTATTTCCATCCTTACCTCATTTTCTCTGAACATGTGCATATTTCCAAGGTTTTTTTTTTTATTCAAACTCATTTTACAATAACAAACACTAATAATAAATGTGTGATGCATTTGTATTTTCCGTCGCTGCAAGTTGTCTGAGTGCAGTTTGTAGCGTTCAGACCTGCTCGGCCAGAGCTTATATACGGGTGGCATGTTATTGCAGCTCCGATCGAGAGGTTCTTACGATCAGATGAATGCTTTTCATTAGCCAATGAGCGGCGTCTGTACGAGCTGCGCACACTTTTATGCATATTTATAACAGTAGTACGCAGACTATTGACTGTGGCACCTATAAGCACGTGTCTTGAGGTGTGATTTTATTTTCATTATAAACAGAGTTGTTCATTTAATGATTCATTTCATTGTTGCATATAAAAATATGGATCAAAAATTACAAAATACAATACTCTAGAGTTAAAAGATTTCGCATATTACAATGAATTATTCATTCGAAAGCCAAGTTCTTCTAATAACATCTAAATAAATAACAATGGGCTCTGCACGTTTACTGGTAATTAGCAAATGTAATATTTTATAATTTATATAATTACTATTGGTAAAATTAAATGTCAGGCTTTGAACTTTACATATCTCAACAGATAAGCCATCAGGTTTCTGCACAACATATGCATAAAATTATGAGCCCGCAGAAATAAGAGCATCCCGTATAGGATTTATCAATTGGCCCATAATTGGGCTAATACTGCCAGCCATTTATAAAGTATTGGCCGATGATTGGTATCCTTAAATGAGCTATTATTAGGAAAAAAATCGGATTGGAACATGGGGCCAAACATTAAAAATTTTGATCGGCGAGTGATGGCAACCAAGTAAGAGCCAACATTGCTAAACAAATGGCTTGTCAATGGTTAATTGTTGCTAAATATTAATTGCTTCAAAATAATTGATATTTAATTAATAATACAGGAACTATGAATAAGATTCTTGAATTTTAATGATGATTATATTGTTATGTAATTTTGCTCTTTAAAGGTGTCAATATGTAAACCATATGCTTAACCTTAGAGACTTTAAGTTCCTCTTTTTAGTCCTAGCCTTTCGACCAATAGACAGGGATGAGGGGATCTTCGATAGAGAAAGTAAAAATGTGTGATTTATATAAAAACAATAACAAAACTTTATTGAATGAAAATTATTGAAAAATTATAACAACAATTTAAACGTTACCAACAGATGATTTCTTTTACTCTGGTCGAGATGAATTACAATTAATTGGTCCTTAGTCGATGTTCCAGTCAGCGCAATTATTCACTTTTTCTCGCGAATTAATTTAAATATCAATTTAAAAATAATTTGACGATCAAATAAACTTCATGCAAAAATTTACAAACTTTGAAGTATTATCAATACAATACTCAAGACTAATGATTTCAAGAAATATTCCACGACGATCTGATCTCGATCTTACTTTTTCGACAACTGACTGATGCATCAAACCTTACGTATTTATTTAGTCGAATGTGACATAATTAGAAGTCCCTTGCTTCAGGCGCGCACAAGTCCCTTCGCATAGTCTTTTCCCTTTTTGGAAAAGCTTAACGCTCTTCTTACGTCACGTACTCTTTTTTTAGAGTTTTATTGCTTTTCGCCACGTGGGTTTTCCAAAAGCAATAAAATATCTAAAAAATGACTTCCTCAACTATTCTTCGAAATCCTTTCTATTTTAACGAAATCTTAGGAAAACTCAAAAAAAATAACTTGAGTAATAATCGTTAACCTCAATCCTTAAGTTTATCGCTATTCATTTTTAGCTTTTCTTAAAATATATTTTAAATAATTATATGAAATAATTAAAAATACATTTAGACATTACAATATATATTTAAAAAACTATATAGTAACATAAGATGACATTAATTGTTTTAAAATCATAATTGAAAATAAAGCTATAGTTTAATATTATAATATTTAATAAATACATCATTCCAATATTAATATTTGTATGTCAGCATTCACATTTTTTTTTAAACTGAACTCAAGTTTAATTTAAAGCATTAAAGTGCAAACAAATAAAATATTCAAACTCGAAATATCAAATAAAAATACAACATGAGTACTTCACT